CCATGCCATAGCTCTATCTGAGGTCTGAGGACGGGCCACTTGGAAATTGCTTTGAAGAGCTGCTGATGCTGAGGCTGCCGTGCCATTTCTCCATTCTTATCTCAGTAAAATAGGCATTGTTCTGCCTGTCGTGTCAGGTGTGTGTACTTTGCACTTAACAAAATTATGTATATTCAATGTATAAAACCAAACAGAAAATACATTTGCATTTAGAAATTGCACAGACTATGGATTTTTACTATAATAAAACCAAATCTAAAATATATTTTCATCAGCAATTCAAAGTATTTTTTATATTGTTAATTTTGGTTTCTCTGAGTGTTTGCAAGTGCGGTTGTCCTCTGCCCCTTTCTTTTGATTTTTCCCATGCACGCATGAAAATTGTTTTCCTTTTGTCCTGGTCTCGGGACGAGTAACAACAAAAGCCAAAGGTTGTTGGCAGCGCCAGAAACAGGAAACTATGCTATGGATTATGATGCCTCCAAAGACTAAGTGCGTGGCTGTGATGAAGGGGCGGCGCCTCGTACAGTGCCTATGACTATATTGGGGGCGTGGCAGCAAAAGGCCGCATATCGACAATGGAGGAGGAGGGAAAGTCCTGGTCCTGCAGGTATTAAAGAGGGCTTAACCCTTCCTCGCCCCCGGAAAATGCATAGAAGAGGCATGATTGAAAACCAAATGCCAGGGAAGCGGAAGAAATAGTGAAAGAGATGGGCGGAAACTATGGCAGTAAGTTGGCTTTGTCAAGCGAACGCCTATGGGCCTATTCAGGTAAAGGCAAGTAAAAGTGGTTTCTGGGCTTTAAGAACATTTTCAAAATGTATGTTATAAATTTAAAAGATGATTAAAAGGGGGTATCTTCTTAGAAGAATATGTACAAGCAAATGTTAAACGAAATTGTCTTTAAATATATTCCTTAAACTCTAAGAAATGAAAGTCATGTCTTGTAAAATATTATTTTAAAGTTATGTTATTCTGAAGTAAACAAAACTCTTTTGCTTAGAACTTTTGAAAAACTAGTTCTTAATTGAACCTCCCAAAACCACTGAGATATTTCTAAGATTACGTATTTATTTAATCGACCAAAAATACAGCTTATTGTAACTAGGGAAATGAGAAAATGTAGCTGCTTACTTAGCATCATTATGGCCAACGATTTATGCATAAGTACCAAATGAGAATTTGGCCAAATCTCTGCACCCCCAAGAGTGGGTGTTGTGCACATGTGAGTCTGAACTGAATCTGAATCTGAATGTGAATGAATCTGGCCACGGAGACAAACGGCAGCCACTTAAAACTGTCACAAGTTAAAAACCGCAAACTGCAGTCGCTACAAGGATTGCACCTCCCTGAAGGGGTTGGAAAAATACAGTCACAGGATGGGGGGGGGCAGGGAAAAATGGAAGAAAATGGTGGAAAAGCCGGAATGAAGAGCACGTAGAGAGCAAAGAGAGACATTATGCGACGGCATGGAAACACACAACAATTTCACAGACAATGAATACATTGGCAAAATGAGGGAATGGGTGGCAACGGTGTAGGCGGGGACAAAGAAGGACTCTCCTAGACACGAGGACAAAGAAATTTAAATAAATGCATGTGCACGAGTCGCAGGACAGAAAAGAAATCACAACAATTGGTTGCACGCCGAGGAAAAAGGATCACAGTAAATTTGGAGAAAAGTTGCAGTAAAGAAAAGTTGGAAAATGTTAGATTAATATAAAATTCTTTACAATAATAAAGATAAAATCTATCTTAAAGGTCCTTAAAAAATAAATAAATCTTTAAAAAGTTAGCAAAAAGATTTAAATTTAATCAAGATTTCTTTTGATATAAGATATGACTTTTAAGCAACTTTTTAAGGACACAAGAATCACATTTTTCCCGGTGCTTCTAAGGATGGTTAACAGCCGAAAGCTGATTGGGAGAAAGGGGTGTGTTGGGGGTGTTGTCATTGGGTGAGGATGAAAATAGGGTCTGGTAATGGGGTGGTGGCAGCCACTCGAGGACAGCGGCGAGCGATGACTTTGCATTTTGCATTACATTTACTTTTTGCGACTTTGGAGATTCTCCGGGCGAAAGCAGTTTGAAAATTATTGCAAAACCCAAAGAACTGGAGAGCTGGAGTCAGCGTCTTGCTCCTAGGTCCTTCTCCTTGTAGCCGCATTTCAATGTTGCGTGTTGGAGTTATTTGAAGCCATTGTTGTTGCTTAGCTGCATTTGTTGTCCTGCCGCTCCTGCTGTTGGTCCTTACACACGCAAATGTCTTATTTATGCTCAGCACTTTTTCCCAAACACCCCACACTCACCCACAACTTTTCACAACGACGACAACTTCTTGCGGCTGAATGTCTTCGACTTTGCTTTCTGCTCTTGCTTTCCACTTTTCTCCAGCTTTTCTCCCTTTTTCACTGAGCAGACGGAGTTTTCCCGCAGCTTCTTCTTTGCGGTACGCTTCCAAAATCTTGCCTTTAACATAAGCTATGCTACTGAATAAAACTATATAAATCTTATGATTTTTTTGCAAGGTCTCAAAATGGAAAATAAAATGTTATTTTCAAGGAATAAGTAGTTGTTGTTTTCTTGTATTCATAATAGAGATTCTTAAATCTAAATATTATTAACATTAAACCCAAAAGCTAAGCTTGAAATATTCGAATTCTTTAAATCAAATAGTCTAAACTATGAAGTGAACACACATTTACTTTGTTTTCCTCTAGCATAATATATTAAATTTTTCTAAGCCTATAATAATAATTATTAGGGAACATTTATTCTATTTCTAAAGCTTATTCTTAGTCCTAAACTACTTTTTCCTGTTCTATTCATGTTCATTGACTTGATTCCAGTGAAATAGGTTCCCATTTGTCCAATGAGCTCGAGAATTTATTTCGGCACTTTGGATTATGGGATTTCAGGGACAAAAGAGTAAAAGGAGGTTCCAAATGGGTCACTGAACATCTGCTACATCTGCTACATGCATGCTCTTACATCATCCTGATGCCTTTTAATAACCTCCCAGAAGTCCATGGAGCATCCCCGGTAATCCCCCAATCAAAAGGCAGCCTGGCATTGCGATTGTTCATTGCAACACAAAGCTCGGATTGCATTTTGGCCTGACTGTGTCGTGGAGCCTTCGAGGATTTGCGTCCTGCCTTCATACTTCAACTTCAGCCGGGGCTTTCTTATGCAAAAATGCATTCTTGTTGCTTGTTATTTTTGCATAAAGGAAAATTGTTTATATAGCCAAGGATATATACGTTTGACAGGGAAGGGGCAAAGGATTCCACAAGGATACTATGTTTTCTGGTTTCCTTTTTTTTTTGGGTGGGGGAGAAGTCCAAAAGGAAGAGGACCAAGCAAGCTGCTTAGTCCTGGCTCTAATAGACCCTTGCCAGGACTTTTTATGCTGCTTATTATGGCTGGAGAGGATTCAGCGAAATCCCCTCAACCACAACCCGTTTCCCTTATTTATTGTCATGGATATTTGAGTTGAATTTCTCCTCGGCTCCTTCGTAGTTTGTGGGCAATAAACAATTTTTTAATGGCGCATAATCACGTTAAATGAAAACTGTCGTCGCTGCCGCCAGTGCTGGTAACTTAATAAGCAGAAAGTCCAAAGTTCTCGGGATGGCGATGCTGCCGGACATCTGGTCACGTTATGCAATTTAACAGAATTATTTAAAATTCAACAGAACTTCTGAAGTGGGGCATGAAAAGTGAGCGGCAAAGTTTTTGCAACATGCCAGCAACTGCGACTACGACTACAAGCTGCAACTTCGCTCACCATGGGTCAGTGTTGCAATGGCAACTTTTAAATTAACCCTAATTCAGAATGTGGCAACAACAGCAACAAAATAGGTAGCAAATAAAAAGCCAGCAAGGATGGCTAACCAAGGCGAGTCGAAGTTTTATTACACTGATATTTAAGATCAAAAAGATATAACTCTATGTCTAAGTTACTTTTTTCATAAAAAAATCTATCTTGTTTTGGGTCGTAACATCTACTTACTTCAAGTAAGAAATGACACAAATTCCCCATCAGGATTTCTAGTTAATATAACCATTCTTTATACCATTTAATTTATATATATTCTTATATGTATTATTTGTACCCTCTTCTAGAGTAAATTTAAATAACGACTGAGAGAGCGATAGAGAAATGTAAGGAAAGCCAACAAGTTTACAATATTCTTGTGCATTTTTCAACTTTAACAATTTATTAAATGGGTCAAAAGCCACTAAAACTTCATTTATCATTGCATGAGCAGGCACTGCACCACGCCTCCTCTTCAAGCCACCCACTTGGAACGCCCAATGCCCAACGCCCAACCTGCCCCCAAACTGGCAGCCCAGCACGTCAGCCCCGTTGAAATGCCAACAAATCGCAGAGACGAATGAGCTCAGCAAACTTGAAGCGTTTCCGGTATGCCGCAAACTACTTTTTGCCCGCCTCATCCTCACATCCCATCAACATCATCCCGGGCAGGGCTTTAAGATGGGGCATGTTGGCACTTCGGAGCCATTTGTCAGGGAGATGGGGTGTCGTTAAAGCCAAAGTCCACCAAATTTGCTCTGCATAAAACTCGGTTTTAAGTAATGAGTTTATTTCACGACTCTTTGAGCTTGAGTTGGTTGAAGCTAGTAAATTTTGTAGAGTTGATCCGAGGTATGAAACATTTCTTCTATACATATTTATAATTTGAATTGCCTCACGAAATTTCTGATATTTAAAGACTAATAATAAACAGTTTATGGGGTATCTCACAGTCGTTACTCATGCGAGCCATGTTTTATTTAATTTATTTCACGTTTGCAGTGCACCTTTAAATGAAAATTAACTGCAAACTTTACAGTCTTTTCGCTTGGCTGTGAGCTATAAAGAATTTAACATCGCGTGAATCCAGAAAATACTCACAGAATGAAGCATATGTTATCCAGCTAATAGTCAAGAAAATAAGTTAACATACTTTTAAAGTTTTATTTAAGCTCATTCAGTTTTATGCTACTAAAGTAACTCTTCGAGGACGACCTGTGGGATGAACTGTCCAATTTGGACCTCTTGCCATGGCGGTGGTGTCCCTTGGAAATATAAAGATTAACCTCTTTGTCGTTCTCGTTATTCTAGGATCTTGAGTGATGACCCTTGGTGTTACAGGAGAAGCAGAAGATCCCTCAAAGATGAAGGTTAAACGTCTAGTGGTTTGTTGTGTATTTCGAGTGGGTGATCTTGTCCAAAGGGTGGGTCTTGTAGGACGCATTGTTGGTCTGGGTGGTCTAGTGGTTGGTCTTACAGGTGGTCTTGTTACAGGAGGTCTATTAGTGGGTCTTATTGTAACTCTTAAAGGAGGTCTGGTCCATAAAGTGGGGCGAACCCTGGGAACTGTGGGACGAACGGTGGGCAAAGGAGGACGCACTGGAGGTCTGGTGGGTCTTATATTCGGCCTAGTCCATAAAGTTGGTCTTATATGTGGCCTGGTGGGTAAAAGTCTTGTGGGACTCTTTGACCAAATCAAAAACTTTCTTGTGGTTCGCACTGGGTTAATTGGTCTGGCGGTAACTGGGCGTCTTGTGGGTTTCCTGGTGGCAGGTGGAATTGGTGGTCTTCTGGTGATCCTAGGAGGAGCAATCGGTGGTCTTCTGGTGATTCTAGGAGGAGCAATCGGTGGTCTTCTCGTTATCCTAGGAGGTACAATCGGTGGTCTTTTGATAGGTGGCTTCACAGGAGGTCGAACAACCTTTGGTGGTGGTGGCCTCGGAGGTCTGATGATTGGTGGAGCTCGCCGGGGATTAATAACTGGTTTAACCAAAATTACAGATGGTGGCCGGCACTCTGGTGTTCCATTGATCTGGCCAAAAACTAAGCAGAACAGACAGCCAACAATCAAAAGTAGAAGTCGCATTTTACTTACTCCCACACGATGCGATCCGATTTATATAGGTTAATGCCCAGAGGCGAAGAACAAACACAGATGGTTGGCGAAATAAGTTGTGCCTTTGTCTTTAGACTTCACTCGGTAGTTAAACGTTTTATTAAACATACATAATTACATGATTTCTTGCGTTCACTTGCCATTTCGGGTTTCTTGTTCTTTTTTTTATTGGCTATCGGGGTATGGGGGTATTGGGGTATTGGGGTATTGGGTATTGTATCCTTTTGTATCATATGTATGCGCATTGTGTATAATACTTGTACATTCATATATAAGTGTGTATACCCTATATGAGTATCTATATTCCATTTAAATATATATATTTATATAGAGAGAGAGTTTCATTAAATACCGGCTCAACAAACATAACTGTGAGTGCAGTTGTACAGAATGCATAATACTAAGGTTAGTCTATCCGAAAAATCTCCACAAATATATGTATATATTAAGTACGGTGCTGTACACGAGAACTAGCGTATCGTTACAAGAAAATATCCAATGCCAATCAAATTTGCTATCAACAATATATAGTATTTATACCTTTATGTTTCATTTAATGTTTTATATGTATATCGAGCGAGAGATTGGCTGGATTAGCTTACATTATCGCCGAGCTGAAATCAGGAAAAATATCTCTTAGGTACAGATACAGTTTAGTGTAGTTTGCTTTTCCACATTATTTTTGTTTGGTGCGTCTTCTTCCATATACTATATGTATGTATAAACGTACGTTATATACTTCTCTATGTTATAGGTTTCTCTTTTTAAGTATGTCAAAATATGTATGTTTAGTACTCGTATATTTTTGTGTAAAAATTAAAATATTCAACACTTGATTGCAATGAGGCGGATTTCCATAATATCATTCGTTACAACATTTGTTTATCCTTTGGTTTTAGTTCTGGATTGTTTTACTTGTTTCCTCTGTTTTATCCTCCAGTCACTACACTTTCTGTTTTAGTTTTAGTTAAATGTCTCCCTTTTTTGTTTTTCAATGCAACTACATTTATATTTCTTTAATATTCCTTTAACTTGCGTGATTTTGTTTCTTCATCATAATATTGCATAGAACATTTTTGGGAATTAATTTGTAACGTTTCTTATAGGTTATTTAAATAAACTTTCTACCAAAACATTCTAAAGGAAACATTCTTGAACTTGGAAAGTATTTGAAACCAAGAATATTTATTTTACCCCTAAACTTGTTCCAGAAATAAAAGGAATTTAAAGTTATTTGGTATTAATTTCCTCAACCTCATGTCTGGGAATCACATACGGTGCGTTTCAAGGCCATAAGACAAAGGATAATCTAAATTAGTTTGGTGAACATTATATTCATAATCAACAGCGGCTAAACGAAGCAGTTTACGCTGCTTCCCAATGTCTTATAGCCTTGAAAGGCGCTCCGTATTTACATAGTTTTATTTTTATAAATTTTATGTTTAATGATTTTAATCTCTGCATATTTTTGTAGTATAGGTACTTTATGTTTGTGATTTTCGGGGGTCACCCGGGCGTATGTGTGATCTATCTGGCTTGGTGATCGCCCAAAAGTGGGCTTGAGAACTTAGAATAATGCCATGCAACAAATATATAAAAAGGCCTATAAATATTATAGATCCGCACAATATATATATATATTTATATATACATGTACATATCTATATTGCACTATGTTTATTGCTAAGCTGCTATGTGAAAATTCGTTTCGATTTCCTCCTTCACTTCACTCTAATACATGTAAAAATCAATGTAAATCATATGTAATCTTTATGCTGGCTATGTTGCATGTGGCATGTTGCATGTCCTATATAAAATATATTATATGTGTATATGTATATGCTATATGCTATATGTGTAGATCAACAAAATAAAATTATGTTAAAGCAATGCAGTTATGCAATTCATATTGCAGGCCAATGTCCAAGATATGTTTGCGGTTATACTTTGTTCGTTTTAGTTTTTCTTTCATTTCTTTGTTAGTTTTATGATTAACGAGATGATGGCCTGACTGGCGATTTCTTGAGAGGATTCGCGACAGCTTACTGGGCAAACGGATTGTGCTGGTTAGCTCCGGGAATATCCAGGTTGCCGCCAGTGGTCTGGTATGTGCCATAGGGTCCTCCATTCGGGTTCATCTCATTCAGGCGCGAGTTGGACAGAGCCCGGGGAATGGGATTGCTGGGAACACCATGGGGAGCCAAGTGCGAGGTCTCCTCGGCCACCTAAAATAAGATTACTTAGTAAATGATTTTATAATTATTACATTTCTCCTCTCTCACCTGATGCGGATCCTCGGTGACCGGAATCTCCGAAATGAAGCCCTGCTCCTTGCGATAAAAGTTGACAAAGATGAAGAAGCCGAGGACGAAGAGGCAGGCAATGCCGTACCAGCGGAAGGTAGCAGTAGTACCGTAGTAAGTGACAAACATGCCGCCAATGATGGCACCGCAGCCGCGTCCCAATCCGTGATGGATACCCTGGAGTACACCCTGGGCCGAGGCCCTCAGATGCTTCGGTGTGTTGTGAGCAATATACGAGCAGGAGGCTGCCCACACGGCGGCATGGGTGATGCCCTGCATCAGTTCGAAGGGCAGGACCATCCACGGATTGGTTAGATAGGAGATATAAAGGAAGCGCAGGACATTGCCAATTAGGCCCAGACACAGGACCTTGACATGACCAATCTGGGTGATCAGACGGAAGCTGAAAAAGTATGCAAAGATCTCGGACACATGGTTGATCACGGACGCAACGCCAAAGAGCGTGGGAGTGCCGCCATAGTCCTGGAGATGCCAGAACAGAAAGGTGAAGATCAGCCCGATGCCGAAGCCCATGAACCAGGCCACAAACAGAAAGGAAGCGGTCTTCAGGTCCTTGAAATGGGTCAGTACGGTCATCCATTCGGGTAACTCTTTCGCCGTCTGCGCAAACACCTTGGACTCGGCGCCGATATGCGGCTGCGGCTGATGACCGGCGGCCAGGAAGCTACTCACGCCACCGGCACAGGCACCGGAGGCGGCACTGCCGCTACCCACTGCCAGCGATGGCAGGTTTAGCTGGGCGGCCAGTTGGTTCATTGACTCCTCCTCGGCCCTCTTTCCAGGATCCACAAACTGTGACGCCGCCTGCTGGGCCGCCTGTTGCTCGTCGATGGGATCGTACTTGAAGGTGATCTTCGAGGCGGATATAATCGCACAGGTCATCAGCACGGAGAAGATGGAGAAGCAAATGTTGTAGTTCTTCTCCTTGTTCTGCGCCCCGCACGGATGGTTCGAGAACGAGGTGGAGTGATCCAGGGCGATGCCCACCAGGAACATGGAGATGCCCCATCCCAGGGAGCCAAACATCCGCTGATGTCCGTACTTGTCCGCATCCTCGCCCAGCAGCGTTATCACAGCGGAGTCGGCCAGAGTGATAGCAGGAGCGCTGAAGAATTCACCGATCAGGATTACCAGCAGGAGCAGGAAGAACGCCTTTTGAATGTCCTGTTTTTTGGGGTAATAGAGGATAATATTAGTATTTGGATAAACATGCATATGCTAGGGTTTATAAAGAGGAATTTAATTTTAGTTTAATTTTGGATATTTAGAGATTTATATTTGATTTCATTTTAATATCTGATTAAGATTGAAATTGTTTCATTTAAAATTAATAGAAATTGTTTATATCTTGCTTTTCAAATTTAAGTTTTATCACAACAAATTAGTATGTCTTTAATTAAGGTTAACTAATCATAAATCTGTTAATAAAAATTATAGGAACCTGAAAGTATATCAAACGTTAATTAGAGCTTACATGCAAGACTTATATTGCGATTAATGGTAAAATGATCCATTCAAAAACAGAAACCGAAGTAAAAACTATAATATTTAAGTCAGTTGATGTTTAAAAGTATTATATTCCTTAAAGAAACAAAGTGCTAACCAGATTTATAATATTAGAATACAATTGTAAAACCTTTTCTTACTGTCAATCAAATAAGAATCTTTTGTATAAAGTAAATATTAAATTATGGCAAGACTTTCTTCTGACATTAAATAAAGTAATTTAAGAATTAACTAGAAATCAATCAGAATAATAAAAATATATATATCCTAAATGAAATGCATTTTGTTCCTAATATTATATAGATAAACCAACTTACCGGTGTCCTGTAGACCATGGAGCTGAAGATGGGCGTCACATAGTCCCTGTGGTACTTGTCGTCATAGTTGCTCACAAAGTTGATGTGAACCGGCGAGATGCCTGCATCAATCCTGGGCAGCAGGAGCGATCTCTTGTGCCGGCTATGAGCAGCTTCCGCCTCCTCCAGAGCCTCTTCCGCTGGCATTGTGCCCATCAGCTGATCCATCCGCTCCGGTTCTGGCTCGTACATGGAGGAGAGATCCCGCTTGGTGCGCGTGTAGGTCAGCACAAAGTCTGTGGCATTCCGCCGTTCGATACAATTGATGGCCTCCGGCCGGATGAAGCTCAGTGGGATGGTGAAGAGGACCCAACAGGCCAGCGAGCCCAGGAGCAGCCGCTTGCCCTGCCGACAGCGATCCGCATAGGAGCCCCAAAATGGGGCAGAGAGGAACTCAACAAAGGGACGCATGCCCACCAGGATGCCGCACTGTCCCGGATTCATGCCCATCTGCTTGAAGTACACGCCCATCAGCGGAAACAGTGATCCAAAGGCGGCGTAGAAGAAGAAGTAAAAGCTCTTTACGGGAATCAGCTCGCGTTCCGTGCTCGCCCCAAAGAACATCTCCAGGATGTCCGAGTGCCCGCGTACTTTGTGCGTTGAGTCCTTAGCCTCCGGGTATCTATGGAAAAAATATAATAAATTAGTTAAGCAACTTATTCTTAATCTCTGGGACTTACAGATTGGGATCCACCTCGCCACTGGCCTCCACATCCACGCGTGGTCTGGCTCCCGGTGGACCGTATCCAGCTGCCTGCTGTTGCTGCTGATCGCCATAGTTCATTCCCTGGTCATAGCCACCTGTTGCCTGCTGCTCGTATCCGTAGCCCTGCTGGCCATAGCCTGCACCCGTTGCTGGTGCTCCAAAGGGATTGGCGCCACCAGCTCCTCCCCCGCCCGCGGTGTAGGGATTCATTGTTTGTTAGTTCCTTGAACTCGGATGGTGTCTGCTGGTTGGTGTCCTTCTCCTCCTGGGAATCCCCCCGTTCCACTCTATCTTCTTGATTTCCGCTCTTGACTGACACTTCCCTTCGGTCTACGCTTGTGGCCCAGTTACAGCCTCATTATCATCTCCATTATCATTCGGCAGCTGTGAAAGACAAAGGACACAATTTGGCATTACCATTTCATTGTTCTCAGACACATTTAGGATGGAAATTGTAATGGAAATGCGTCTGTTATTCTGTGTAAATATAATGGAAGAACTCTTCCGTAACAGAGACTACCCAAGAACTATGGATTAATTCTGTTTTATCTTATGTAAAATCTATAAAAGATATAAGATTAGCAAGTTAATACAATTAAAAGAAACCTAGGCAACTTTATGGAGTATTATGGGTTACAGATCTTAAGCCTGAATTAATCTTTTGTGACTAAATATTAATATGAAAAGGATACTCCCTAAGGTTTTCTAAACGAAAATATGCTTCAGGAAATCCTTAACCAGAATAAAAACTTAACTTAACACAAAATGTAGCTTTAATTTAACAGAAATCATCTTAATCAAAGTGTTTAACTAAAATACTATATATCATACATATTCTCAATTCTTCTGCTAAGATTATATACCTTATCTTGGTTCCTGTACATAAAAAACTAAAAGAAATAGCAAAATGATGAATAGTTAAAGTGCTATTCAGTTGCTAAGAACGCATCAGGACCCAAGCTCACCGAGGAACAATTACAAATGTCAACTGCTTCCGTTTGACATTTCCCCAGTTGCTTTTGAATACTTTTGAGTGAGCATTCAAATATTTTATGCTTTTCCCATGGCGAGACATATAAATCCCAAGACTGGGCAGAGAGACAAAATAAACAAGCTCTGAGTCCACTCACTCTTTGGGGTTTTTTTATTTTTGAGTGAGCTCAAGCGAGTTGAGTGGATTGCATTAGCTGCTGAGCTTTGAGCGTGAGTAATTTCTATGGCATTACACATACGCACCGTTGGCACATAATAAATGTAGGTAAACGGGCAGGAGTGGATGTGTGTGTGTGTGTATATGTGGGTTACTGTCTGTATATAGAACAGACTTGTTGTTGGTACTAAAAAGAAAAACTATATTGAAATTTGAAACTCTAGTTTAAAGTAAATGTAATTACTATATTTGTAACTTTTTGGGAGGGAAAATAATAAAACAAAATGCATATAAACCTACAATAACATCTTTTAAACTACAAGCTTCTAATAAAAACATATTTTTAGGGACATATTCCGTAATTACACAATATTTAGGTTGTAAAAAAGAAAAAACGTGTAATCTTTACACAAAGTGTAGGTAGTTATTCTATTTTTAATGGCACACACGTGCCCACAAAAGCTGAGGTGGTATGTATCAGTCTCACTATATATAGACAATTTTCGCACACTTCTTGAAGGCCACTGTCAGAGGGTCTTGAGGTGAAAACCTCTGATTTACATCCCCCATTTATTATATAAACTTTTCGCACTTTAACAAACCGCACATTAACTTTAATTTCGTAAATATTTATTTGTTTTACACACCAGAAATATGAAATTTGTGAGGAAATTCTTTGGTTTTTCGGCCGCTGGAAAAATGTGTTACGTGCGTAATCGATAAGCAGAGTTTTCCTCGCGCCTGGCCTCTATACGAGCGTTTGGCAAGCTGCCCAAGAATTTTCCAAAAGAGCCCCGAAAAGAAAATGTTGCGCTCAAAAGCGGACGGAAAAGCTCGCTCTAGCGCGTTTTGTCGCGACTGTGAGTGTGTGTGTGATTGTGGCGGGTAGAGGTTGTGCGAGAGGGTGTGTGTATCCAAGTCTAATGAGATTTGACGGCTGACAGCAGGACTTCAAAGAGAGCGAAAGAGAGGCTTTGAGTGGGAGAGAAGGGGGAGGAAGCGCAAGTGAAAGTGACATTTTTGGCGCCAAAAATAGTATTTTAAACTTTAGAAATTAAAGGTGAGACTAAATTGATAATTAATCTAGTAGAACTCAGTTTAGTGTTTTCTAAGCTTTAACTAATTACTCAAAAGCAAACCACTAAATCACCCTTTGAAAACAAAATAAAAAGAACTACTAGACATAGTAAAAAACTAAAGGGGATATTTTCATAAGCTTAATCAAAAAACTATTAGTAATTAAAGCCAATTGTGACTTTATTGTGTTTGTCAGTACATACATTTTCCAAAGAAATACGCAAATTGAAATGTCGTTCACCTTAGGAGACCCACATTCGTTGACAAACAAGATGAAAAGTCCCCCATGATGGGGAACCACCAGCAACCAGCAACCAGCAAGACATGACTATGACTGCACCTCCAATTGAATGGCAACATCGACTCCTATATAAAGCGAAGCTTTTCCAATGGAAAGCAGATCAGTTCGATTTGTTTAATCAAAGCAAAATGAAGTTCACCATAGTTTTCCTACTGTTGGCCTGTGTATTTGCCATGGCTATGGCCACTCCCGGCAAACCAAAGCCGTATAGCCCTAGGCCCACCTCCCATCCTCGTCCCATTCGGGTAAGACGTGAAGCCCTTTCCATTGATGATCAACTGGGACTGGTCCAAGCCGCTGCCGCCATCAAGCCTCCTCCGATTCTACCCCTTTAAGGATCAGGGAACACTATGAAACCAAGGAATTTCATCACAGCAGTCTATGAATATGTTTTGTAAACAGCGTTTATCTTCAAAAGAACTTTTAAATTAATTAATAAATGCCGACAAAAAATATTGTTTTAAATGTACTTATTTACGAAACTAAATAATTAATTTATATATATATAATATAAATATAATATAATATATAACTTCAAAAAAAACAATAAAAAAAAGGATCATAGCAGCAAACTTAAATTTCTGTTGTAAATACTTTTTCATTAAATAAATATATAATAAACGTAATAAATTCTTAGTCAGATAGCATAAATATATACAAAATCTTTGATTAATTCATAGGGAATTTCAGAAGATTATTTATGTTTTTAAAAAACATAGCCTATTATTTTGTTTTCTGTATTGTTTTCCAAAAATTATCAGAAAGATGACAGCTATGTATATTGTTAAATAAATTTATTCACAGTACACTAATCAAAAATAAAAATCAATCACTGCAGGAAAAACATATTTACAATCAGAAATATTAAATATATTACGTTTTCAAAAAACCTGTCAATAAAAACACAGTAAAAGTATAGTTAAATGATATTGGTATAGCATAAGCCCCAAAATTATCACATAATTTATGCATATAAACAAATTATTTGGGAATTTCATCAAATCAGCTGTGCTTCCCACAGAAGGTCAATTTGGTGTTTTCTCTAAATTAATCTTACTCAAGAAATACATTGTCAAGTTATTTTACACAGTATACATTAGATTCTAAGGGGATTCCTCTCTATTATCTGGGGTTGATTAGAGATGCCTAGCTCTGAAGCTGATAAGAATACATTACTGATTCCAACAGAAACCTTAAAAAAGTCACGTTTGAGAGAGAAATACATCTGGTGACCCGTGTGATTCACAAACTGGTTTCAAGGTAATAAATTCCAGTGGCCAGATGGCTAAATATCATGATGAATGGCTATCGAATATTGCAAAAAATTTCTCAAATCACCTAGTTATTAATTAGTATTTATTTAGTTATTACTCTTAAGTTGGAAAAATACTTTGGCTGATAATTCAAATCATTAGCTGAATGATAAGGTAAAGGTTAGCTGACTTTTTTGATTAATTATTGTATTCTATTTGTATTTTATTAAAAATTTGTTATATAATGGGAGGAAATATTTTTCAAAAAATTTCTTATTTTATTTTAAAGGCATTATCTTATTTTCAGTGCAAACTTTCCGTTGACATTTCGAGTTAAAGTTTCCGGCTTTCCTCTCTCTGACTCTCTCTCGACTTACATCCTCTTTGACTGCTCCTGCGCAGAAAATTCAATTAGAATTTGGCTGAAACTTCACTCAATTCCTGCGGCTCTCTCTTCCACTCATTAACTGCATCCACCACCCGCCAGGATATCAGGATACTTCCCCCCTCGATACGTCTATACGTATATTGATAAAGCCTGACATCAAGTGATGGGGAATATGATAGCGAATCGCTTATAACTGTCAAACGTTGTCCTGCGCAAGATGACGAAGCGCTCCTCCGTCACAGGCCACAAAGGAGCCACTTGATGATGCCAGCCGAGTCCTGGGGCGGGGTTGAAATCCGCACAAAGGAGCAACAAGTGGTGTCAATGGGGCGCACAAAGAGGGAGGCGTCGAGGTCATATCGCTTGAGCACATGAACAACAAAAAGCCGATTTACTTTGGCTTTTTGTTGTTCATGTGCTCAAGCGATATGACCCACCAAACTTGAGCGGGGAATTCCTAGCGGATAAGACAGCCAATCCCGAATTCCATCTCGGATTAAGCTTGTGAATCACCAGAAGAGCTGTCAAGTGGCGCAAGCGGCTATAAAAGCGATTAATTAATCTCATTGGAGCATCAATCCGCTCAAGCAATCCCAAGTAGCAGCATGCAGAAGACAAGCACCTTAGTAGTCCTGGTCATCGTGGCTCTCTCTGCCATCACAGAAGCGGCTCCTGGAGCCAATGGATGGCATCCGTTGCCGACATCACGTCCCATTCGCTTCCGCCGCCAAGTGTTGGGCGGATCCCTGAGCTCCAATCCCGCTGGTGGTGCCGATGCTCGCTTGGATCTCACCAAGGGTATTGGCAATCCCAAACACAATGTCGTAGGACAGCTCTTCGCTGCGGGAAACACACAGTCTGGGCCAGTTACCACTGGTGGTACTTTGGCCTATAATAAGTGAGTAACTTAGAGATTTTGTGATTTAAAATTCCAAATACTCACCGCTTTCTATTGCAGCAATGGCCATGGTGCCTCTTTGACCAAAACCCATACGCCCGGAGTGAAGGATGTCTTCCAGCAGGAAGCCCATGCCAACCTCTTCAACAATGGCAGGCACAATCTGGACGCCAAGGTCTTCGCCTCGCAAAACAAGCTGGCCAATGGCTTCCAGTTCCAGCGCAACGGAGCTGGTCTGGATTATTCCCACATCAATGGACATGGTGCTAGCATCACCCACAGCAATTTCCCTGGAATTGGAAAGCAACTGGGAGCTGAGGCTCGCGCCAACCTGTGGTCTTCGGCGGATCGTGCCACTCGCTTGGATCTGACAGGATCGGCCAGCAAGTGGACAAGCGGACCCTTCGCCAACCAGAGGACTGATTTCGGAGCTGGCCTGGGATTGTCTCATCATTTCGGTTAAGCCAGTTCCTGCCATATTTATTTTAAATGTTAAATTATTTAAATAAAATATAAATTAAATATAGATCCATATATCTAAATACAATTCGGGATTTGCAGACGGAACTCATACCAGATAAAACTATTTCTCTTAAAAAATGGTTTGTACTCTAGTAATGTTTATTTTCTTTTAATTTCAATTTGATTTACAAGAACTGGAGTGTCTGCAAAACGGTCCTGTTTTCCAAGTAAAACTTTTTTCGTGGACTTTTTACCGTGATAACTTCAGAATTTAAATTCTGAGAAAACTATTCATTTACGACCATATAAATCATATATATTCTTGATCAGCATCAACAGCTAAGTCGACCTAGCCATGTTTGGTAGAAAGAAATTTTGTACCCCTTTTTTCAAAATTTTTTAAATTGTCAAAAATTGGATAACAATTGCATTATTTTACATTTTAAATGAAGTATGCAGATTTATTAGCCTAATAATAACTTGCACGGGACAGCTTTCCGAATTAGAATTAATGATTTTTTGGCTAAGTTATGAGATTTTTAAACTTTGATTTGTTGAACAAATTGTCATATAAAAATATAAATAATGTCGACTCAAAATTGGTATTATAGTCTTAGTCAGAAGCTTCTAACGCTGTGAAGTAGTCATTTCCGACCCTATAAATATATATACTCTTGATCAGCATCAACAGGCGAACCTTTCTAGGCATGTAGGAAAGAAAATAAATTTTCGTCAAAATTGTGAAAAATTTACATATTTATTTTTTTTTCAAATTGGTTATGCAGATTTATAAACCTATTAAAAACTGGCACAGAAATGATTTCCGAATGTAAATATATGAATTTTTGGCTTAGTAATGATTAATTAAAAGTTCCAACCGCCTGCTTATTTTCTTGTTTAGTATAATTTGAACATATAGATTAAGAAAATTCAATTTAAAAATAAAGGCCATCTTATCAAAATCTATTGCTGATTTTCCTCAGCAATAAATGCATATTAAAAATATTAACATATGTATATTCGTATTTTAATAATTATGAGAGGGCACACGGGTGTATTGAAGTAAATAAAAATAAATAAATAAAATTTAATTAAAATAAATAAATAACTAAATAAATAAAATCGTTTTTATATATCATCAACTTCCATTATAGTCCAAGTAATATTTATATTTCTTTTAGTAGCACCTTATATTTACTTTCTAAAGCAGCTGAAATGTAAAACAAACCTTTTTCTTCATGAATAAATTAGGTATTAAATATAAATAACAATTGAAATTAATCAAAACAAAAAATTCACCAAGAATAAAAAGATTATAAGAAATAGAAGGTGAAAAGGTTGATTCCCTCGACCAACAAGCAACAGTAAATCACCAACCAAACCTGAACGGGGATTTCCAAGCTGATAAGGCATCCAAGCGAAGACAGCGATGAGATGAATCTTGTGATTCACTAGAAAAGTTCTTCCCCAGAAAGCAGGGTATAAAATCGAATCGCCAGCTACCTTGGGACATCAGTCAGCTCGAGCAATCCCAACCAGCAACATGCAGAAAGCAACCATTCTTATCGTAGCCATAGTGGCTCTCACCGCCATCGTTGAGGCAGCTCCACAGACATATCAGCATTTGGTGTATTATCCTCCTCCGCCTCCACCACCACGACCCATTCGTGTACGCCGCCAAGTGTTGGGCGGCTCCTTGAGCTCCAATCCCGCTGGTGGTGCCGACGCTCGCTTGGATCTCACCAAGGGCATTGGTAATCCCAACCACAATGTGGCAGGTCAGCTTTTCGCTGCTGGAAACACGCAATCGGGTCCAGTTACCACTGGTGGTACTTTGGCCTACAATAAGTGAGTATTTCCACTTTCCATATTATTCAACATTTTATTGACTTAAATTCTTGACTCGTTTGCAGCCATGGCCATGGTGCCTCTTTGACCAAAACCCATACCCCCGGAGTGAAGGATGTCTTCCAGCAGGAGGCCCATGCGAACCTTTTTAACAATGGCAGGCACAATCTGGACGCCAAGGTCTTCGCCTCGCAGAACAAGCTGGCCAATGGCTTCCAGTTCCAGCGCAACGGAGCTGGTCTGGATTATTCCCACATCAATGGACATGGTGCTAGCATAACCCACAGCAATTTCCCTGGAATTGGAAAGCAACTGGGTGCTGAGGCTCGCGCCAACCTGTGGTCTTCGGCGGATCGTGCCACTCGCTTGGACCTGACAGGATCAGCCAACAAGTGGACAAGCGGACCCTTCGCCAACCAGAGGACTGATTTCGGAGCTGGCCTGGGATTGTCTCATCATTTCGGTTAAGGGGAGACTCCATGAATACTTGTAATAATTTATTAATAAAGCTAAAACTTTAAAAATTAATTAACTAAAGGTGCATTTTTTAATTAGTATTTTCAAGAACTTACCATTCAACAAAAACTGTTTAAATACTTGATCCAAAACAAGGATTACATTTTATACTTGTTTGTTTACGGTTTCCTGTTTTTTTGATTCCATTTTATTATGTTGTTAATTGAATATTTCTGCTTATTATATCGCACTTGCGTAAACAATTCGATCCCACTCAATGATTAATGGATTTTGTTTTACATTTTTATCATAATTGTTTTCTTGTTGTGGCTGTTTCTGCTGGTTTTCTGCAAAAGCCACCATCGGTTTAATTTAGTTTTCACAGAAACATAAAACTTGTTTTGGCTTGGACTCGGCTTAAGAGTGGTGTTGTAGTTGTTGGAAAATACAAAAGAAAACTAAGAAAGTCTGCTAATTATGCTGATATCATGTGTGAATTGAATAGTGCTTCCTGCGCTCCGCTTACGACAGCTTCTTGGCCTTCTGATAGAGGGTGTCCACCACTTTGCCCATGCTCTGGATAGTTTCCAGCACTCGCTCATAGGTCTTATCGACGGGCGTCTCCTCGAACACAATCAGAACACCCTCACCCTGATCCAGTATACCGCTGAACTTCTTATCCAGAATCATTTGCGACAGTTTCTTTTCCACCTGCGGCATGGGCAACTGAATGCTCTCAGCCACATGGGCGACCTACGGTAAGCGAGGGAGAGAGGTTTACTGGCATTACAGAGGAAACAATAATTGTTGCTCACTCACCTGCACACGGGAGTAGGGCTCAATGATGCGGCACAAGTTCTGCTCAAGCATGGTATCGTATAACGTGCCCAAATGTGCCTGAACAATAACATCCTCGGCCAGTTCCTTTTTGTACTCCTTAAGCGCAGTTTGGAAGTCAGCCAAAGAGCGTTTGTGTGAGGCCTCCGCTACCGACTTCATGGCATCCACATCGCGGCCTGAGTAGGTAATTGCCTTTAAGAAAACATTTAAACGATTGCGATGAGATCTTTCAACTCTATTTTCATATCTAACTTACCAGCTTTCCGCTGACAATCTGGTTGACATCGTCCGACTGTCCCAGCATGATCTTGCACAGCAACATGTATTTCAGCGAGGTCAGGGCCTTGACACTGTCCACGCTATCAAAGCCTTCGAAGGCCTCGTAGAAGTAGGAGAACGCTGTTTTGAAATCTCGCTCATCCGCCGCATGCAGGATGCCCGACTGCAGATCGAGAGCACCCTGGACCTTGGGCGGACAGTAGATGGCATTGGCTGTGGTCCGGGCCGATGTGAGGGCGGCCCTTGCCTTGGGCAAGTTGCTCAGTGCGTGGTAGGTTTTGCTCTCGAGCAGCTGGACCTCCACCAGCAGATTCTTATCGTCCAACTTCTTCAGCTCTCGCAACAGCTGTGAGCCGAGGGACAAAGCCTCTGTATACAAAGCCGTGTCGAAATATAAGGCAATCAGACGAGCCTCCAGGGATTGGCGGAGGAAGGTGCGCTTCTCCTGCTTGGCCCATTCAATGCAGTCTTTACACAATTGAACCTGTGGCACAAAGACTTAGTAAAATTCTTTAAGGGAGCGCGAGAAGGACTCACCTCGATGCCGGTGCCTGCGTCCATGTCGAGGAACATGTCCACAAGCGAACGCACCAACTTTGCAGCCTTGGCCTTACTGATCGAGCTCAGGAACGGACGCGTCACCTTGATGAGATCGGCCAGCTCTTTGGCCTTGCCCTCCTGCTTGTAGAGCTCGCCCTGTTGCAGGATGCCCTGCTCCTTAATGCGGATGCGCTCCTCATCGTTCTCGGCGCCCTCCTGGTCTCGCACGATCTTATTCAGCAGCGAGCTGTCCTTCTCCTCGCGATTCACGCTGGACAAAGCCTGGGCACGCTCGAAAAGTGTAGCTCCGGCCATCTTGGGTCTTGGAATTTGGATGCGGATGTGGGGCGGTCAACACACGAACTTGCCAGGGAGTTACGTCTATCAATCAATTATCTATGCGCGTTTCCACTGAACCACTAGCCGTATTTCAATTTTTTCTTTGTTTTCGATTGGGTTTGAGTTGTAATTATTGCGTATTTACGAGATTTATTGCTGACTTTTTCACTTTCGGTCGTTGTTATTAAGCGCCAGTCACGATTAGAGCTGGTGCGCCTTCGATAGGTGTGTCAGGCGGCCATCGATAAACGTTGGAGCCCCTACTAATTGGTGATATCGATGTATCGATAAAGGTGCAACGGGCTTAATCGTGCCTTGCTAACTTAAGTATTTTTTAAGTGTTAAAAAGCTCATGTTTACCTTAATCCCAACTAATAAATAATAATTTTGCTACTAAAACTTAATTGAAATAATGTCTTCTAACTGATCGTAAGGAATAGAAGGAACACCCAAGAAAGTTTTAAAATTAAAAATAATCTGTAACTAATTTCAACTGAAATAATTCACCACGATTTTAAGATGTTTCGATAGGAAAGTAACTACCACAAATCACGACATTCGACTTGCATATCGATAAGTTATTTCTCCCAGCCCTTGATTCTATCGAGTCTGGTTTGTTTTTCTTAAAAAATTCCAAATATTTAAAATAATTGTAAATGGGCGAAGAAACAAGCAATTCCACGCAAAATAAAACACGGACAAAGACCACGCGACCTAAGGCGGTTTACCTGTGGACAGTGAGCGATGTGCAAAAGTGGTACCGCCGCCACTGCGGCGAATACACCCAGTACGAGCAGCTCTTTGCCCAGGTGAGTGGGGAATCTCCTGGATTCCCTTTACCCTGACTTACCTTTCCTTAGGATTGCCTCTGCTTTGGAGCTTTTCGTTCATCCCCTGTGCCTCAATATACAATTGGGAAAACACGAACGCTTGCTACATGAATTTAAGAACACCAAAAAAGCAACTGCCTACTGATCTGGCTTTGATTGCTTTTTTTCAGCACGACATTACGGGAAGAGCTCTGCTACGCATCACAGATTCCTCACTGCAGCGAATGGGCGTGTCGGATAACCGGGATCGAGAAGCCATTTGGAGAGAGATTGTTAAGCAACGACTCAAAACGGACATCATGGAAATCCGCGATATGGAGAGACTCAACATACATTCGTAATTGTGAGCTTTCTGTTCTAGTTAAATTTTGTTTTAGATGTAGAATAATTATTACTTAATATTATAATATATATATATAATTATAGTTCATATTCAGATTGATCTACAGGCTTAACCAAAACTTGCTTAATTCAAAATCCAAGACTAGTTCCATGTTTATTTATAGGAGATCCATTTCAGAGTATACTATACTTAAGACCATATTCGTTCATTTCACTGGAATTAATATCAATTCTTTGAGATCACTAAAAGAGCTTGTTTTATATCAATCACTTAAAACAACTTGCACCACTACGGTCTAGCCGTCCTTCTCCTGCTTGGGGGTGACTAGTTGGACATCACTGTCCACCGGTTTTGTGGCCACGCTGGCTACTAAGCCAGCACCTGATCCTGCTACAGCTACACCGCCAGTACTGCTTGTTGTCGTGATGACTTTTGGCAATGAATTGGATGTGAGTATGTGCGGCATAGAGACGGTGCCATTGGCCATCGGCAGGGCGGTGGTAAAGAGCAATTTCGGTGGCTGAAGACGCTGAGTGGTGGAGGATGGCGAAGCCGCAGGTGCCGGCTGGTGCAGTAGGCTGGGCAACAAGTTAAACAGACGCTCTCCCATGGACTTCTCCCAATCCAAACGTTCACGCTCCAGGGAGAGGCGATTGTGCTGGATCTCGTTGGCCTCGTTCTGGGCGTTCAGAAGCTGGCGTAGTAGGATTCTCATAGCTGCAGGAGAGAGAGAGACATGCAATGAACTCTGGCTGAATTCTCTTTGTAGGTAAAATGTACTCACTTGTCATGTGTCGCTTGGACTGCAGCTCCTCCCTCGCCTTCTCGTGCGCCCTGCGAGTCTCTTCCTTCTCCAGCTGGATGTGCTGTTGGTGTTGTAAATGCTGCTGATGCTGGTGCTCTTGGTGGAGGCTCTGTTGGATCTTCTGCTGCTGCTGTTGCTGCACCGCCGCTTGAACTTGAGCCTGAGCCTGGGCGGCTGCCAGTGGCAAAGTGGCGGCTGACTTGCCCACGGCTGCAGCAGCTGCCGCTGCCTTAGCCTGCTCCGCATTGACCAGGACAAACTTGACTCCTGCCGGAGCGGTGGCCATCAGACCGGCGTTGCTCGGCTGTGCCGGTGCGGCAGCCGATCCACTGATCATCAGTCGGGCGCCCTGATTGATGGCACTCTGCAGTAACTGCAGCTGAGGAGCCGCCCCTGCCTTGGCCGTTGCGATAGGACTTGGTCCTCCAGCCACAGCCGGCAGCTTCGATTGCATGAGGAAGTTTGTGGGCACCAGTGAGATCTTACCCGCCTGCAGCTTATTGGCAGCCGTTCCGGAACTCTGCGTGACCGTGCAACTGCTGGCCGTGGTGGTGGTAATGCTGGCTGGTATGATGACATTGGCTCCAGTGAAGGGAAGCAGATTTGCGGGCTTATTTCGATGCAACATGTCCGCCAAAGTGGACGAAGAGCTGGAGCTTGGGGATTTCTCATTCGGCGAATCGTCGGAGGCATCCACATCGATCGGTTCTTCCTTGGGCACGGGCAGCAGCATACAGTCGTCGTCCTCCTCGGGCTCAGGCTCTGGCTCAGCTGATGCGGCCACAGCAGCCGGCACCTCCACCTCCTGAGCAGGCTCACTCTTAATGCAGGATGAAGCCAGAGCTTCGCCGATATCGACATCAACTTCAGCGGAGAGCTTGCGGCGCTTGTTAAAGGATTCATCGTTCATATCGGAGTCGGCCTCCAGACAGCCAGCTTCTAAGTCCTTCCGAGGAGTTGTGTCCTTGTTTTTGGACACCAAAGCAGACAGCATCATGTCGTCCTCCTCGTTGTCGCTTTCGGAAAGCTCCTCACCGTTCTCCAAGCGACGCTTACGACGTTCTGCGTGCTCCTCTAGAGCTTGCTCCAGTTGGTACTTGAGAGAGGGAGCCGGGACTTCGTTGGGGCGAACGCTGAAGATGGGTCTAGTCATGATGGCATCCATTTCGGCAAAGTGCTTCCAACTGGGCTCGGAATCGCCAGTTAGCACGCCACACTCCTTGTCCTTCTTCAAACGATTGTAAAAGCACTTCAGATTCTTGATACGCGTGGTAATTTCTTCCGGCGAGCGATGGTAACCGTACTCCTGCATCTTGTTGGCTAGCTGGCAGATCACAGCGTGCTTCTTATGCGTGGTGATGAGCGTCCGCTGCAGCTTGGGATCGCCCCAGAGCTGAATCAGCAGCTTGGTTTCATCGGTGTCAAAGTTAGGATTGCGTCCCACGAAGCTGTGCTTTTTGGCGGAGGAGGAGGAGGAGCTTGCGCATGGATTTGGGGTGTTTGTGCCGCCTCCTCCATTGCTGCTGCTCGTGTTGTTCGTCGACGTTGGGGTTGACGGCGTGGAGGATGAGGAGGCCCCATTCGCCGCCTGAGCTGGCGTCGGAGCTGTATAATTGGCTGCCGCCGCCTCGGAGCGGCGCTTCTTGATCCGTGCACTCGACTTCAGGCTCATTCCGTGCAGTATCTGGAAATCGGAGAAGCTGAGACGCTGGGGAGCCCGGAGAGAAAATCAATACGTCCAGATACTCGAACGGAGCCACTGCCTCCTGCAACGTCTGCTGGTCAAGTGAAAAATGAGCCAGGCAAACCGCGCAACCGCGGGCAACCGAATGTAAGCACAAGCAATTTCAACCCCTAAACATCGGCTAAAAACAAACCCCTGGCCTCCCGCAGGAAAATCGGTGCTAAGCCAAGTGCATTTCCCACCCAACTAAGCAGAACCATGCGCGTTGGCTCACCAGTCAGCTCTCGCGCTCTCGTCCTCTCTCAGGCCGCTAGTTGGCATGCGCCAAGGGGGAGTTATTGATTACTAACCCCTAACCGGCACGGTTCTTGTTTAGCTTATTCGAAACCCCTAGGCTTTCCCTTAACATCCAAACGATTCGCAATTGGAAAATCTTCCCCTTTGTCCTGAAATCCTATTAGGGAGACCTGGTCCTGGCCGACGAACTAAGATGCTAACACGAGATCTGCGCATCACACTTTGTAGGTCATGCGCATTTAAAACGCGTGTTCCACTTCAACCCCCATAAGCCCTTAGACGCAACGAAGCAGCAGGCTTTATGGCAAACAGCAAATAAATTATAAACTAACTTGTCCAAGAACTTTCCTTTTGAAAACGAAGGGATCACCTGTAAAACAAGGATTCAAAGTAAACTGCGCAAAATAACGAAATATTTAAATTTAAAAGGCAACCATTTATCGATTATACTTTCTATCGATATTGACCAAACGATTCTTTTCACAGTTTTTAGTATATACTAGTATTTATTATCTACACTTTCCAAGCTGTCGGTCACACTTCTGTCGTCAGCTGTTGCAAATAAAAATCAAGTTTGACACAAAAATAAAAAAATGGTTGTGTCGAAAGAGGAGCAGGAGTTCATCAAACGCAAGCATGAGCACACCCTGAAGCTGCGCAGCGAGTTCCTCAAGCAGAGCTCCAATCCCTACCGCCATGCCACCGGCGAGGGCGGCACCGTGGTAAGTGGAAGAACCAGCAATCCTCGGCTTGGTTATGTCATCACGCCTGGGATATGTGCTTTTAACTCAGCTTCCGTTTCCTTTTTAGTTCGATGCAGGATTGGCCCGCTTCCAGGCGATGCGCGTGTCCAACTACGAGCACTTCAAGCCCACGGGCAAGTCCTTCCGCACCGGCCTCTTTGCCGTGGTGCTTCCCATTGCCGTTTACGCCTGGGCCCTGAAGTCGGAGCGCGATGGACGCGAGGAGAAATACAGAAAGGGCGAAGTTGCCTACAAGGATCGCAGGTTCAAGTTCATCTAAACGATACATTTAAGTCATCTCCGAGTTATCTTCGATTTGTAGTGGAATTAAACAAAAAACAAACCAACCAGCTACGATTAACTTAGTGTAGTTTATTTCTCCTCCATCTGTTTGTCTCGGGCAATCACAAAGTCCTCGAACTTGACCATGTACGTAGTGCCCTTGTGCCAGTGGGCGGTAACCTTGCAGGGCTGCAAAAAGATGTGTATTATAAACAATATTAAGTGGTATTAAAGAAAGACTTACGAAGCCGCAATGCGTGAGCACTGCCTCCACAATGCCAGCTGTGAAATTGGCACAGTTCAGCGATCCCTTATCCTTGGGTACACTTATGAAGGTATTAACTAGCGGCTCCTTCTCTATAATGTAATAGGTTCGCTCATCATCGTTGGCGTGCTCCAGCTTTTCCGCCTCCTTGCCAAAGAGATTCTTCCACACGGTGGTCTTAACAAAGAGCAGCATTTGTGTCAGTTTGGTCTCCCGCTTGGCACTGCGCTCCCGCACAAAATACAAGTCGATGATCCGGGTGCCCACGTCCTGGCCCAAGTCATGCAGCCTGAAAGCACACGTAATTCAGTGAAATAATGAGATAAACATGAAGAGTTCCCCCACCTTGTTTGCAATTCGGGCACGGTAAACACTCTGCTCTGGGAATACTGAACAATCTCGCTAAAGAGCAGTGCGACAATGCTCTGGGAGACCTCCGTTTTGCCCTTGGAGAGCGGTCTATCCAGAATGTTGCTCCTGGGACGCATCGAGGAGATTTTCAGAGCCTCCAGCTTTTCCATTTCTGCGAAGTTATTTTCCAAAACAAAACAGGCGGACAGTGTTACCGTGGATGAGAAACAAAAAATACTAAAACTCGTAATACAAATAATGGAAACTAGGTGGGAAAGTTGCAAAATTGTTACGGCAGAGGTCGCCCCTGTAAAAACGAGTTTAAGAAATACGTTAGTTCTGATTAGTTTTAATCATATTTCTTTTAGTGTATTGAATTTTTATAAATACATAAGCTTTGAAAAAAATGATGCATTTAAATGTAAATAATCAATATATAATGAATGAGAGAATCAAAATGATTACATTACGCTTAAGTAAAGGTCTTTTACTTTACTATAGACCACAATTTTAAGTTTAGAACTAAACTAAGTGCTTAAATCTCTATTTGCAAGACCTGACAACCCTGCGAAGTGAACCTGAGGCTGCCCACATAAACAAACATCTTAGGAGCACTCGAATTTCGTCGCCAGGCACCGACAGTGGGGATGGATCTAAGAAGCAAAGTCCCCCAGAGCCATCGCCACCGAATGTTGGCGTCTCGAATTTCCTGACTTCGCCTATCGTTGATTTCCCATTAAGTGTTTATTGCAAATCAAGCATTTTGATATCTTTCATATGCACCGGAAATTCCAACAATTATAGATAGGATAATGATCGAGATATAGCAAAATGAATAATCTTTGACTAAAACTTTCCAAAATCGAATATAGGGATTATAATCTATTTATGGATACTAAACTTTCTCTATTAAAAAGTATTACACAATATAAAAAAAGAAAATTAAGGTTTTTTGTTTGCCTTTTGGGAGGTCCTGGGTTGGTTGGAAACTTCTTGCAGAGCACATCATTAGAGCCCGGGTTCTTATTCTCTTGTAGTAAATGTGCCGTCTTTAGCACAATCCTGAACAACATAACTGGGACCTTCGATGTTCGATGGTCCTAGAACAATATCTATTGGTCGTCGTTTTAAAATAGTCATGAATCCTCAGTCCTTGTACGCACGTAATTTGTACGACGCTGAAGTTCGAAAGTAAAATGCTTAAATTAAATTTATATATTTGTATAACAAAACTAGACTTTCTAATATGAAGTAGTAATATATTTAATTTGTAAACAAAAACTGATTTGAAAATGTCAGTTTCTCTAAGGAAACTTTAGTAGGCGCAAGCCAAACTTCATAGACTAAATCTTCTCTATTTGGATTTCATTGTTTAAACTATCTTTAGAGCAAGCAGTCAACAAGCGTCTCCTACTAAAAGCCCCAGCAAATATTTACTACCTTATTTTTGCTACTATAATTGGTTTATAATTGAACTAAACTTGCGCCTGCCCAGAGAGAAGAGAAGCCCAGGTAAAGAGAGCAGGGCAGAGAGTAATCTTTGTAGACTTGGTTGCCCGGAATGCCAAATTAGGAAGCTTAGCTTGCTGGCATATTGCACTTAATCTATCTAAAGAGTGACTTGGCATCCACGGTGAACCAAATAACTGGTTAAATATGTTAACTAATTCATTAACTGCGTTTCCTTCCAACGCCCACATACTCATCCTCTCCTCTCCCTCTCCAGATCAACCGGCCGGCTTACATGTACGCACCAATACCAACATCGGTGAGAGTACCAGAGCGCAGAGGCAAAGTGCGATTGTGGAGGAGAGCGAACTTCATATAAAAGCAGCCCGGCCAGCCCAAAGAAAGCCACTTACGTACAATCGTTGCTGTGATCAGTGTGTGCAAGTGAGAGGTCTTGACCAGCGAGAGAGCGAGTCCCAGAGAGAGTGCTTAATTGGCAAACTGAACAACTGACGGACACACAGCTGTTTTTGGAATCTTTTCCGAGGTAAGCTAACTGCATCCTGGAAGCAGGAGGTCATCTAAACTTGTGGAATCCTTCGAAAGTGATTGAAAATAGTAAACACTCGCGAGTGCTTTTACAAACTATGGTAGCCTGTTGGGGCGCTTCCGAAATGACTGGAATTTAGTACAAAAAATAATAAGATTCTCCTTAAAAGTGATGTAATTTACGCATTCGGCCAACAACAAAACATTGGTCTTACTCTTGCCAAAAATTGGGAAATGCTTTTTCGAACTTCGGAAACGTAGGCGAATCCGAAATCGGAAAGCAGTTCTAAAATTACACACAATGGCTTTTTGGTTTTTTGGCTTCGGCTTCGATCGTTTGATTGATTTTTGGGTCAATCGATTCGAAACCGAAAAGTTTTGAACTCGTTTCACAGCCTCGCAGTTCGCGCAGATCACTCGCTTCACTCGCCTCACTCGCAAGCAAATATGTGAAGGACAACGACGCGAACTCTGCTTCTTCCTGCTCAGAACCGAATACCGATCAGATCGGCAAAGTTATAGAAAAGATATAGAAACGACCGGCGCACCGCCGTCGACTGTGGAGTGCGTGAACGTATTTCGAAGCGTGAGGTACTCGATTCGGAATTATCTCGTGTCTAGTGTGTAATGTGTGTTGGAACCTTCTCTTATCGAAACGCAGGCGGCTTATATAACCCCAAACCGATAATACCTTGCCGAAAAAAAAGAATATAAATTCCAATTGAAAAGAGTCGAGACAAGCAAACAAACAGTAATTTCTCGAACTGATAATGGCCAGTGAACGAATCAAATCGAATCGAGATGAGGGGTCTGAGACTAAAAATATGAATTCCATCAGTGATAAGCCCGATGGCCCCCCAGTTCATCTCTAATCGAAACACAGACAAAACTTGCCCATATGGCCGGGTGCACGTGAATCCATTTGCTCCCCAGATGCCCAAAGTACCCATTGACGCACACGGGTCCTTGACCCATTGCGACCTCTGACTTTTCCCATGGATCAGATTGGATAATCTCTTGTCTAACCTTTCCCACGTCTAAAGTGAAACCATTTTACCTCGATTTCGTAGTGCCAGATCAAAGAGCCAAAATAGATCAGCAAATTGAAATTAAATTAAATCATGACACCGAAAAACACAGACGACACAGACCAAATTAAATTCAATTGAAGCTGTCACGGGGCAGCAACAACAAGTGCGAGGGTAGAAACGAAGAGAGCGCTCTATAATAGAGCCGAAGAAAAGCAATACGAAAAGTCAAATCGATTGCTGCAATTTGAGACTCTCTCCGAAGAAATCGAAAATTGCAGCGGAAGAGCGACCAATCAGCCATTACTTTCGGGTGGGGGACTGAAGGGTGAGAATCTTGGTGACTGACTGGGCGCCCTGCCAAAATGTGCCAGCGATGCATGGCAAAGGCAGAGAGCGATACGAAGGTACCTCCTTAGCTGCATATATTGAACCAAAAACTGGTTTACGTTCCACTTGGCATCCAATGCAGAAGAAGGATGACGATCCTATCCCAATCCACATTTAAAACTTTTGCTGACACAAGAAAAAAAAAGTTCAGTTTCAAACAAATTTAAATAAAAAAGCGTATGTGTAGGCGGGACCTGAGTATTCGTTTTCCAGAAGAAAGCAAACTAGATACTAATTAGAGCAAGAATTTGAATGCCACTGCCTCGTTAAATAATTTTATAATAGAAATTCTTAAATATTATTATGGAAATCATGAAGACAGTACCCCAGAAATAATTCGAATTGATTTTTTGCATGTGTAGAGCAGAGTCGAGAAGTGTCGAGTACAATGGAAAGGAGGGGCGCTCTGCTCTCGAACCCCTTTCCTCCAGAGCGCCACCCACCTTTGGCGTTTCTTCCAGCAGCGCCAACGCCCCGAAAGATATCGAGACAGACAGCGAAAGACAGAAAAGGGGAAAAGTGGTTGTGATATGTGCGTGGGTGTGTTGTTGTCTGTGGGACAATCAATGCACTTCCGCTCGGATCTATAGGGAAATATTCATACATATATTTGCAAATAAGTATACGGTTCCCGATATATATATTGCAGTTTTATGGTAATTATCTTTTCTGTCAGCTCTTGCCTTGGGGCGAGCTCGCTTGATTTATTTGCTGGATTCTTGAGCAGAAACCAAATATGGCGAGCAAATAAAAAATTGTGCAAAGCAAGCTTATCTCATTGAGATCTAAACTACAAGATTTGTCGGTTTTCATCAAGGAGAGATACTGGAGATTCTTTGAGACCTCCTTGGCTGCTTTATCGGACTAAACAGAATCGTATAAGTTGGACGAAGCTTTAATTATCCTTATCGCTCACGCATAATCTGACCCACTTCAGCACCAGTTACAAACATACATACATCACGTTCTTCTTATCAAAAAAACGGGAATATCGACTGATAAGAGGGGTTCAAATATCGAAACAAACATAAACAATTACTTGGGGAAAAAAGGCGAAATCAATTCGAAACTATTTCGCCATGAAATGAAATTATACTAGTATACCTCTTGATCGATTAATAGTAACCAGTAACCTTGCATGTTTGTTACCTTGCAGGGAATTGCATTGAGTTAGCGCAGAGATGGCCGATGAAGCACAAGCACCACCAGCGGAGGGCGCACCACCAGCCGAGGGCGAGGCACCACCACCCGCCGAGGGAGCCGAGGGTGCCGTCGAGGGCGGAGAGGCTGCCCCACCGGCAGAGCCCGCCGAGCCGATCAAGCACAGCTACACGCTCTTCTACTTCAACGTGAAGGCGTTGGCCGAGCCACTGCGCTACCTGTTCGCCTACGGTGGCATTGAGTACGAGGATGTCCGCGTCACCCGCGACGAGTGGCCAGCTCTGAAGCCAAGTAAGTGTGACAGTCCAGCAGCAGAATCTCCCTGCAAAGTAGTATTTAAATATCAATAAGTCTAAACTTAAACGCCATTTACTTTTCTTATGATAGCTATGCCCATGGGTCAGATGCCCGTGCTGGAGGTGGACGGCAAGCGTGTGCACCAGAGCATCTCGATGGCTCGCTTCCTGGCCAAGACCGTTGGCCTGTGCGGTGCCACTCCCTGGGAGGATCTGCAGGTGGACATCGTTGTGGACACCATTAACGACTTCCGTCTAAGTAGCGAACAATGTGTGCCTCAGTTTCATGTTCAGTGTCCTTGATTAACTCTGGAATTTTTAATGTATAGAAATTGCAGTCGTCTCGTACGAGCCCGAGGACGAGATCAAGGAGAAGAAGTTGGTCACCCTGAATGCGGAGGTCATTCCATTCTACCTGGAGAAGCTCGAGCAGACCGTCAAGGACAACGACGGTCACTTGGCCCTGGGCAAGGTCAGTTTCCTGGAAACAAATTTAATCAAGTTAATGTTGCTAAATGTATTAAATATATTGGAATTTTCTATCCACAGCTGACCTGGGCCGATGTCTACTTCGCAGGCATCACCGACTACATGAACTACATGGTCAAGCGCGATCTGCTGGAACCTTATCCGGCTCTGCGCGGTGTCGTTGATGCCATCAACGCTTTGGAGCCCATCAAGGCCTGGATCGAGAAGCGCCCCGTCACCGAGGTTTAAGTTCCGGAAAGATGGAGCTGGGGAGAAGGGAAACCATTAGACATACACCCAAACCCGCACTGCAGACATGAACACCAATCCATACATCTGTACACACATTTTGTTCCTTTATGCGGGTAGATTCGAGGAGCAGCGGACCTTTGCACGGGGTCATAATCGCGTAGGAGTAGAAGTTTAGCACGTGACACTACTACAGACAAGTCGTATTTAATTTTATTTTCATGCCTATATATAATTCTCTTTGCATGGCGCTATATATATATATTTCTATTTGGGATCCTCAGCGGATCGCCGTTCGTTTGGTTCTTAAGAAAAACAAATGATAATGATAATACTTATTGCACAGTTTATAATATCCTTTGGCATACCTTTAGCACATACATTTAGCGCAGCTATGCAGACACTGACTATAGCTATATATATACAAAATCTACGAGTGGTTCATCTTTTAGGCGTAAATTCTATTATATTTAACTAATTGCAAGGAGCTCAACCAGAATATTTAAAGCAATTACAAAATTATTACAATTTTTTGTTCTTATCACACGTTATCGCGTCGGCCCCAGGAATTTTCTTCGTCTTATATAGTTTCCCGCTTAAAGTAAATCTCAAGAAAGAAAGACTCAACTCAATAGAACCGGATGCTATTAAAATTAAAACAAAAATCAAAAACAATTGGGAAATGCTGTAACAACAACAGACGTTAACTGCCAAAATTTCAAATGCACGCAAAATCACACATTACATCACATACATTATGCACTTTATTTATGCAAATTTGTAATTGTATTTTTTAAATATTTTCACACAACACTTTTAAATAAACTAAACACCTAAAAAAGGAATGAGCACTTTTCAAAAGCAACTCGAGAACTCGTTTTAATTACAATTTGTCCTGTGGAGAACTAAAAGCATGAAAAGTTGAGATTAAAAAGCTCTGGGGTGTCATGTTCTAAGGTTTTATATTTAACTTTTCAAAGACGTTTTTATTTCTTGGTCGAAAGTAAATCATTTAAAAGATAGAAGATAACAACATATTACAACTATAAATGCACAATTGGTCCGTTTGGTCAAACAGATTCACAACTAAAGCTCCGATCGATTACTGATGTTTCCAGCTAGGTGGCCGCTTCTCAAAGAAGCTTGCAATGCCCTCTTTGGTGTCGTCCAATTGGAAGTTCTCGCACATCTTGGCCTGGGCCGCTGCACAGGCTTCCTTCTGGGACATGGCCAACTGTTTATAGTAAAACTCCTTCCCCAAAGCAATTACAGCCCGGCTTTTGCCTTGATCGCACCAGTAATCTCATCAATTTCCCTTTCCAGTTCCTCGGCTGGCACCGCTTTGGTGGCCAATCCCGAGATAAAGGCTTCCTCGCCGCTGATAGGCAGACCTGTCATCAGCATAAAAGCTGATTTTGGTCGGGACATAATGCGAGCTATGGCAACGCCAGGAGTGGAACAGAAAACTCCCACACCGGCTCTACAATTGAGGTTGGATTTGATGGTTAATAGTTTCTAATCGAGATCCCTAAAGCTTACCCAGGCGTGGAGAACTTGCTGGTTTTGGAGCAGATAACCATGTCACAGGACACAACCAGTTGGCAGCCAGCAGCGGCAGCATATCCGTTAACCTTTCCTATCACAGGCACAGGCAGTTGTTGGATATCATTGATAATGTCGGTGAGCTTCTGGAACACACACGCCTGGATCTTTGGATCGTTATGCAGCTCCTTGAGGTTGTGACCGGCTGACCAGACTTTTCCCTGGGCTCCCAACACAACACATCTCAGATCCACACTGTCCCTATCCCTCAGCAAAGCCTCCTGCAGGGCAGACATCATCTCCAGCGACAAAGAGTTCAGGGTTTTTGGGTGATTCAGAGTTATCTCCCGCACACCATTCTGCTCCTTGACCAAGACCAGGTCAGTGGATTCAGTGCTGGCAAAACGGAACACCTGTTGCCCGGCACCTGTTGCATATTTTGATATATTTCTCGAGCTTTGCAAGACACGCAACATTTTGTGTTTTGATTTTGGCCAGCAGTGTTGAAAAATGCCACCGAGCAACAGCTGACAATCGATAGGAATCAGCTGATCATCGATAGAAGAAACAGTTCAGTGCTAAGCCGCTATGCACATTTAAACAATTAAAACTTTTCCCTGTTTATTCAAAGCTTTTACGCCTCTACAGCTGGAGTCTACAGGTTTACAGGTGAGTAACCAGTGCCAGGTGCGTCAATAACCCCTGCCTTTGTTTGTGTATCAGCTGAGCGCTGCTGCAAACAGCTTCGGCGCCCATGTACTTGGTTTAATAAACGTATTTATGTGACCACTACTACAAGGCAGAACTTTATCAGCCGCCAAAGCCATTTGTATTTGTCGCCCCGCATTTTGCGCCCCACGGATCAGTTAACGATTCGGAGCGCGTTAGTGCGGAACCCACGAGCACTCTCTAATTCGATCTCCATTCCAGCTGACCCAAGATGCGACCATTTTCCGGAAGCGATTGCTTAAAGCCCGTCACCGAGGGCATCAATCGCGCCTTCGGTGCCAAGGAGCCATGGCAAGTGGCCACCATTACGGCCACCACAGTGCTTGGCGGCGTCTGGCTCTGGACGGTGATTTGCCAGGATGAAAGTGAGTGCAGGTTGTGGGGAATACTACTAAAGTGCCAAGTCACCCGGGAATCAGTCGATTCCTTTCATTCCAAACCCAAGGCAGGGCTTGTCATAAATCTAAATCCATCAAACTATCTTATCTGTGACCTGGCAGGCGCGTTCCTTCAACACCATAGGTAATAAATACAGTCGAGCGTCTTTAAATGTGACTTAATTATTATGATACCACTTGAAAATTTCCATAAAAGAAAAGATATGACTAAAAAGTAAAGTGCTTGCTAAAAATGGCTTAAAAAGATTTAGAGAGAAACTACTGTTCCTCTAACAAAATTATAAGCTTTCCTGTATGTACTTTGCGCCTTATATAAGCCCGATCAATCAAGTGGCATGCAGCCATAGTGTGCCCTCCACGAACTCTTTTTAAATTTAATCTCTGTCTAAAGATTACGATAGATTAGAGCCGAAATATTTACTCAACAAGCTTGTTTTAGGTAGCAACTCAAAATCGATGTTATATGCAAAGTTCAACAGATTAAAAACCAAGGGTTTCGATAAGATAGGGATATCCCCTACTTCCGAAAAACTAATAATAGGACTTAAGAATGTTAAGATAGCATAAATACCTTTTAGAAGGCTTAGTTCGAAACAACACAAAATAAATTCGGTTGCCTTCGCTCCTGAAATTGTGACTAATGCCCCAAATTAATAACGTTTTACTCATTTATATATGGTATTTTCACTTTCGATTTTTCAACAAGAGTTTCCTAAAAGGTGGCCAAAGCAAAAACACGCCATGCACCATAAAAACCGAATGATATGTCCAATATATCATGGATCAGGCGACCTATTATCTCTATAATTATTATTCTTTGTGTCGGCGTTTGTTCACCCCAAGATAAGTCTTAATTTTGAAGTTTTATATGGGCCTTGATAATAAAATATGTCTAAAAGAAAAAAAATGTTCCTTTAAACAAAGAGTTTCCCTACTATTCCAGGTCTCTACATCCGTGGCAAGCGCCAGTTCTTCAAATTCGCCAAGAAGATTCCAGCCGTGCGTCGGCAAGTCGAAGTGGAGTTGACCAAGGCCAAGAACGACTTCGAGGCGGAAATCAAGAAGAGCAACGGTCACCTGTCTTACAATGAAACTCTACCCGAGAAGGGTCTAAGCAAGGAGGAGATCCTTCGTCTGGTGGACGAGCATCTAAAGACCGGTCACTACAACTGGCGGGATGGCCGTGTATCCGGAGCTGTGTATGGCTACAAGCCTGAGCTGGTGGAACTGGTCACCGAGGTGTACGGCAAGGCTTCCTACACGAATCCCCTGCACGCAGATCTCTTCCCGGGCGTCTGTAAAATGGAGGCAGAGGTGGTGCGCATGGCATGCAACCTCTTCCACGGTAGTTCCGCTAGCTGCGGCACCATGACCACTGGTGGCACCGAATCCATCGTGATGGCCATGAAGGCGTACAGGGATTATGCTCGTGAGCACAAGGGCATCACCAGGCCCAACATTGTGGTGCCGAAGACGGTGCACGCTGCCTTCGACAAGGGCGGCCAGTACTTCAATATTCATGTGCGCTCCGTGGACGTTGATCCAGAGACTTACGAAGTGGACATTAAGAAGTTTAAGCGGGCCATCAACAGGAATACCATTCTGGTGAGGATTTCTTTCACTGTCTTCATAGTTTTCGTTACTAATTTGTATATTTCCGCAGCTGGTTGGCTCCGCACCCAACTTCCCCTACGGCACCATCGATGATATCGAGGCCATTGCCGCTTTGGGTGTGAAGTATGATATTCCCGTTCACGTTGATGCCTGTTTGGGCAGCTTTGTGGTCGCTCTAGTCCGCAATGCTGGCTACAAGCTGCGTCCCTTTGACTTTGCTGTCAAGGGAGTGACTAGTATCTCTGCGGATACCCACAAGTACGGATTTGCACCGAAGGGATCCTCAGTATTCTCTATTCGGACAAGAAATACAAGGATCATCAGTTCACTGTAACCACCGACTGGCCCGGCGGCGTGTACGGCTCTCCCACTGTGAATGGTTCCCGTGCCGGTGGCATCATCGCCGCCTGCTGGGCCACAATGATGAGCTTCGGCTATGACGGTTATCTAGAGGCCACCAAACGCATTGTGGACACTGCTCGTTACATCGAAAGGGGGTAAGTTTAGTCAAAACTTTAAGGATATCAGTTGAAATGAACTCTCATAATAACTTGCAGAGTCCGCGACATCGACGGAATCTTTATCTTCGGCAAACCTGCCACATCGGTGATTGCTCTGGGCTCCAACGTGTTTGATATTTTCCGACTTTCCGACTCGCTGTGCAAGCTGGGCTGGAACCTCAACGCCCTGCAGTTCCCCTCTGGGTAAGATGACTCACTTAAAAGTAACCGGAACACCTTTTTTAATCTTGAATATACCAATTACAGCATCCACATTTGCGTGACGGACATGCACACGCAGCCCGGTGTGGCGGATAAGTTCATTGCCGATGTCCGCAGTTGCACGGCTGAGATCATGAAGGATCCCGGCCAGCCTGTGGTCGGAAAGATGGCCCTGTACGGCATGGCCCAGAGCATACCCGATCGTTCGGTGATCGGGGAAGTGACTCGCCTGTTCCTGCACTCCATGTACTATACGCCCAGCCAGAAATAGATTCCTTCCGGGCTGACTCCACCTATAACTCAACTACACCCACCCTCCCCCCACGGAGCTGAATGCATTTTCTGTGTCGTATTTAATACCAACCTCAAGCAATTTATTCTAGCCTGCAATTAGTGCTGTAATCGAGGGTACAAAAGTCGTTCTACGGATCTTTATGTTCATCATCCCAACTGTCAACATTCGTCGCTCTAAGTGCTATGTTATCGAAAAGTGTTTATCTGTGTAACAACTTGCTAGTGAACTAATAAAATAATGTTAATCAAGTTTTGAATGCTCAAGGAAAGGAATTCAGTTAAGTGTTTTGTATTAAGAGTGACACCGAAATCGATTTGGATTAGATGCTCTACATTTTACTAATTAATTTTGTTATATACATATTTATATTTTATATTTATCTGAATAACTTCGAACTACGTTCAAATTGGGATGATTGGATGCCGTCTTTAATTACCAAACTGCTCCTATAAAAGAACCTCAACTTACACTGCACTTTAATTTATATTTTGTTTACACGGAACCCGCGCAACTATTAACAATAATTGCTGCCGCTGCGTGGGTCTCTTTGCAATCCGGTCTGATCTAATCTGGTTTGGTATTTCTCTTCTAACATTGTGCCACGCGTCGGCGTTGATCTTCGATGCACACCTGACACTCCCATTTCCTCTCGACTGCTCTTGTTATTTATGTAAGTCCCTCGCTGGCTTGCTCAAATTATTTCTAATAAATTTCAGTAGCGGAAGCATTTATTATTAAACGGCAGACTTTCTTCGGGGCACGCGTTGCCTGTCGTCATTTGACAAAGACTGAACAATATTTCAAAGATGCTTTAAAATAGCCCAAAGAGAGCGAGCAACAAGTGTCGGACACAAAGGTGACAATCAATTGGTGGCATCCATTTCGAGCCACGACAAAGATGAAACCTGTCACATTAACAGGGCGCCCACGCTCCCTGGACTTCCTTCCCCTTCCTGCCTGCATTGTTTTGGGTTTATTTTATTTTCGTTGTTTTTGTATACCTCTAACATGCCAAAAAATTCGGCTCAAACCGGGTTGCCAAAAAAATGTATAAAATAATACATTTTGCAATGGCCCGCTACACTGCAAAAATTAGACTTTTGTTTACCTATCCTTCCTTCTTGCTAATTTGAAAAGCTAAACTCCATTCTGGTATATCCAATAAGAATATTCCAATGCAGTATTATTTTAAATATCAATACAACAATATAACATGAATGTTTAAGAAAGCTAACTTTCGGAAGCCAGTTGACACAGGAAGTCCAACTTGAAATAGATCATAACTAAGCCAAAATGCATTACATTTAATTCGGAAAGCATCCCTGTGCTAGTTTTTATAAAATTTTTATAAAATTTAAATAAAAATTTAAACAAAAATTCGTCTTTTGGTGCTAATCAAGAATATACATATATGATTTATAGGGTCAATGACTCCTTTACATCGTTACATCCTTCTGAATACCCTGCGCCTGCAGGGTAAGAAGCTTTTTAAACGACAAAACAAAAAATAAATAATTTATATAAATATATCACATTTTCTTCTGTGTAACGCTACATCGTTACATCCTTCTGAATATCCTGCAGGGCTATAAGAAGCTTTTTAAACGACAAAACAAAAATAAATAATTTATATAAATATATCACATTTTCTTCTGTGTAACGCTAACGGCGCAGTCGCCACCGACGCACCGCTGAGCGAAGGCGGGAGCAGCACCGCGACGACTGTGGAGCGGCGTCCCAAGTCGGCGGCTCATTCGCT